GTGTCATTATAGGCCAAGATGTCTCGAAATGTGGCCTCTGTCAATATATTCAATGTTTACTTTCAACGCAGCTGAAATCGATGTTTTTGAAACAATATATGAAATGAGAAAAGGGTCATTTGTATCGTAGATGATCCTACAGAGAATTATCACCTAAATCTACAGCTCCCCCCTGCTTCGAGGAGATATATTGCGAGTTTTAACTCATAGTGTATCTGTTACTGTTTTGATTCACTCTTACAGCTCTCTTAGCATTGCTTTCAGCCACAGCAAACAGCAAAAAAAGCTCTAAAAACCTCATAGCATCACCAAACAGCAGACAGACACAGTTAGAGATTATCTGGTGAACATGGTGGAGCATTTAGCAACTACAAAGACAGATATTCCCTTCAGGATGTGGCAGAGACCAAAAGCAGAGCTGAAAGCAGGGCTACAGTGCTGCTGGAGTGCACCAGAATGACGCTCTGCAACTTTTAAGGCAATAAAATATTTGCAGTTTAAATTCATACGCATTTTATAAGCATTTGATCCTGTCATCATGCAAGAGAGACAATTGTCAAAGTTGTCATATGAACATTTAAGGTGTGCTGATTGATTCATAATGTCACCTCATGCATTGAGTGACATGCAAGAACATATTCCACCTTAAAAGTTGCCAGTTGCTGTGGGCAGTAGCCTTGGAGCAGCACTGTGAATTAAAGTATTTTTTTCCCAGTCTTAAGCTAGCTAACTGTTAACTAGCAAAGATGGAAAGGCAGCCATTTTATAGTTGTGGTTGACTAATGTATGTAAACTTGCCACCGGTTACATAACCTTCGAAATGAGCCACAACTTAACCATGTGCATCATAAGTGTGTTGCGGTACTTAAACAAATAGCATTACACCCCTCGCTAATAGAAAATTAATGCTGGATTTGCATCAGGTCGCCAGAAACACACCTTCTAATGAGTTAAATGATGATGTTGCTCTGTAGCTGCTTGATGATGATTCACCATATTGACTTAAAAAGGTTTCGCCTCCTCAAGTGACAAGAAAAAACCCCATTGTTATTGCAGGTTTATAGAGCAGCAGCAAATTGGTGAATAGAGAGTAGCTGTAAGTGTTCCAAAATCTATGAATTTGTGACCGTTTGGTGCACGATGAGCAGCGTGACAAATCTGTGGCCTCTTGCAATGTCAAAAACAACAGCATTTCTCCACTTCCCTCCACCAACAAGGCTAATATTGGTGGTGGGTTCTCCGGGGGATGTTGGGATGTGTTAACCACGAAGCTTTAATACACAATCCACTCTTAGGCCTGCCATCTGCACGCGCCGGCTGCTGCGGCATGAGGCTAAATCCTCTGCTTCTACTTCTGCATGTATTAATTCTACACCAACTGCACAAGTAACAGTCATCGTGACAGTAATATATATTTTTAATTACATAGCACTGAAACAGTCACAGGCTTCTTTAAGAACATCGAAAATAAAAGATAACGCTGCAGTTAGCATGTTGAAAATATGAACACTAAAATAATACATGAAGCAGTGACATCACATAACGCTGAGTATAAACAGATGGATTACAATATTTGCTGGTGCTGCTTTATTATTACCTTCTTTCAGCCTGCACATGTTTAATACACATCACAGCAAATGTCATCGTGAACATCTTAACATTAAATCATGATGATTAAATTAACAGTCTTAAATATTACTGTGTCAGCAGTCAATGCTAAGTGAATGACTAAAAATAAGGAGGAAACATCAGCTGGGGAAGTGGTGATGTATCATTAATCATCATTAGTGATTAATCAGAGGGAGCAAAGCAGTTTGATTTGACTGTAGAGGTACAGATTGTTTTTGTCTCATTATTATTGTTATATTTTTATCATTGAAACGATCGGCTGGAATGTATTTGATTGTGTCTTGTCACTAAATAGGAGTTTATAGTGCAACATGGTGTAAAAATTATTTTATTCTCATTCCGTTTTGAAGCAGGAAGCAGCGCTTTATGTTTTCTCTTTCTTAGTTCACCTTTTTGACAGAAGTCAGAAGACTATGACGGCCACTAAACTCAACCTGTTCCTCTGAAGCAGCAGCAGCACAGTGCCGGCATGCTGTATATGTAAATCAAAGTTGCACTACCCGTTACAGCTAACTATGGAAGTTGTGTATTTATTTTAAAATCCTTGTAATGCGCAGTACTTTTATGTAAATCAGGGGGAATATTTTTCCTGGTTTACATGCAAATGTTCAGGTTTTTTTTTAGTTTGACTAAACTAATTCAAAGACCAAACTAATTTTAAGACCCAAGAGATCAAGAGCTTCCTCCACCCACAGCGGCTGGACAAATCCCACATTTACACTTCACTCACTCTTACACCTGTTGCATGTGCCTCTGAGACAGACAGAGATATAGCCTTACAGCGCCTCAACATAAATTACAACAGACACTTCTGATGAAGTAATTTGACTGAGCAAGAGGCATTACAGGAGTGCTGATACAGAGGATAACAGCTGGGACTTTTAACTATGCATGTATCACTGTGAATTACATTTACCATTAATAGTACGAGATCACTCATATGTATGCCACCAAAGCGACTGTCAACAGATTCTGGATGCACAATAAATGGAAACATACAGATAAATGTACATGATACAAAGACGCCAGCCTGCAGTGACATGCACACCTACGCAAAGGAAAGTTTGTGTGTTGCTTGGCATCAGTCCAGTCCCAGTCCAAGTGTGGAACTATTTTGGTCAGCGGAGCCAAATAAATGATCAAATTAACACTCGCTCTTACCATTAAAGGTCCAGTGTGTAGGATTTAGGGGGATATATTGGCAGAAATGGAAGATGATATAATAAACATGTTTTATTTTGTGTGTAATCACCTGAAAAAAACAATCCTTGTGTATTTGTCACCTTAGAGTGAGCTGTTTCTATCTACACAGGGGGTGGGTCCTTGTTTATGGAGATCGCCATGTTGCACCACCATGTTCCTACAATCCAAAGGTCCAAAAAAAAAAATCCAAAGGTTCAACTTAAAAAAAAATTAAGGTAACAATTGGCATGCCTCTTTTTAAGTAGTTCCAACTCTGGCATTATTGAGTCAGTCCTATTAATCTTTTGTAATCTGACAAACTCAATTAGTTTAGTACAACACACCAGATTTGCTTTGACCTTGAAAGGTTTAATTAAGTTGAAACAACTTAATATTTATTTGTTTTGATATTTAGTGGTCAAATTATTTTATTTGAGACATTCTAATTTATTTATTTTAATTCGATCCCACTCAAAAATGTTAAATGTAATTTTTAAATTGTACCAACTTCTTTAAAGATATTTTTTGGGCGTTTTTTTTTTTTTTTTTTGCCTTTAATTGATAGGACAGTGAAGCGTGAAGTGGGGAGAGAGAGGAAATGACATGCAGCAAAGGGCCACAGGCTGGAGTCGAACCCGGGCCACTGCGGCAATGGCCTTGTACATGGGGCACCTGCTCTATCCACCAAGCCACCAACACCCCAAATTGGACCAACTTCTTAAAATTAGTTGTCAACCGACTTAAACACTTTAAAGTAAAAAACATATTTTTTTACACTGAAAAACTAACACTGTATTTTAAGTGTTATCAACTTACTCCATTTTTTCGAGTGTACAGTAGCTCTGAGTGGACAAACCAAACACTGGCCACTAGCCATCATAGTTAGAATCCCATCTGCAACAACCCTGATTTGTAATGTGAAACTGTTTTCTTCAGTGTTTTCACTGGCTCACATCACTGGGTCAGTTTGTTTCAGAGAGGAGGAGATAATCCAGCTCCCTGTAAAAACCTCCTGAACAATGAATAATGAAGGAATTCTTACCAGGAGAAGTTTCAGCTGGTTGCAATCTGCAATCCTCACTGCTAGATGCCACTATATCCCTCCTAATTTTACACACTGGACTTTTAAGTAATAAATAGTGCTTGCAAAACTGCTGTATAAAAGCAATATCAAGGTTGAACTGTTTGACTGAATATCAGCACGGATGTGATTCAGTACATTCGTAATCTTGCTTAAATTGCTTTTTAAAATTTACATAGAGACATTTAAGTGTTGTTAAATCCCTGTCCGTTATTGATATTTATGGTTACTGTTTTACGGCTGTTGAAACTCAGGTTGATATACTAGCTTGATTGGTAACGACTCAGAGTCCAAATCTGATTTATTCTCCAGGTACATGTCCAAATATAAGGAAATTCACTTCAGATTTAAGTTTCTCTTAAAATACTTCAACACAGCTCCAAGAACAATGAACAGGAGGATAAAAAAAGACATAAAGCTAAAAACATGGACAAAGATAGGTAAAGAATAAACAGAGCTATTAAAATGAAGGGAAAAATAGATGTATATATGTATGTATATAAAAATGTCCTACAACATACAGTGTCTATATGTGCCTCTATGTGGATCTAAAACTGTTTACATTCCAGACTTTAAACAGAGAGACATGACAAAAGAAAACCAACAAAAGAATCCCATCACAAAAAGACATTTAAAGATATCTCATGAGTAAAACCACCCATGGTGTGATTTTGGAATAAAATGCAGCTGTGATACTAAATGATTTATGTGCGTCTCTGGTGCCAGTTTTTAAATAAATGCAGTGGTATTTGTTTTGTCATCACTGAATATCGTTATCTGTCCCTTCTTCCCCTGATTTATTCCTAGCACAGCACAGATAGTGTCAGTAATGTGCTGATGACATGATGTGTGGTGGCTGGGGTTTGGTGTTGTGTCAGAGCTCAGCCAACAGTGAGTGTCATTCATTGGACGGGCTTACGTATGGCGGCCGCAATGAGTGACTCCACTGAGGGGGAGCAAACAGGTGCTGGCTGACGCTGAGTTTGTGTCACTTACTACAGCCCCGTGAGAGCGAGGGGGCTGGGAGTGATGTCATCGCCTGATGATGCTGATGTCACTAGTTTGAGTTTGTTTGGTTTTTTTTCTCTCTCTCTCTCTCTACAGAGAAGAAGGCTGTCGAGGTGTCTGGGTGTGAGCGAACACCCTCTAGTGGAGCTGCTGACGAGCTGTGTTGCAGAGCTTCTGTCTCTTTCTAACCATCAGCATTTCAAGGTGAAAGCACAGACTCAAGTCACAGCACAATTTCTTTTTTATAAGAACTTTTAATTTTAGTTTCTTTTCAAGGTTCACACAGCAATCCTATATGTAGACCAGACCATGAATAACTATTTTTATTGCTTTGACACAAAACATGCTCAGTTAACAGCTTTCAAAATGAGATTGAGAATGAAGTCAGTCTATTCAAATTATATTTTCAACTATAGCTCAAAATAATATTTAAACTGCTAGAGCAAGGGTCAGCAGTGTTTACTACCAGAAGAGCCATTTGTGGCCCAAAAAGATAAATTGAATCTGTCTGGAGCCGCAAAATATCTTTTATCATTATTTACAGAATAAGAAACTGATAAAATGATATTCTGGTTTTCACCCACTGTTCAGTAGCACATTATGGACCACGTTATGGACTAAATAACTGGCTGAAGTGACAGAAATGCTGCATGTTTCAGTGCCAAATAAACAAAACATCATCAGAAATGTGCCCTTGCTGTAGGTGGTGAGGAAACTGAAATTCCTTTAACATCAGATGCTCTTCACTGAGATGAATTAGATATAATAGTTACTATTCACATCTTAAATTAGCTATTTGTTTTCAATGTATTGCAGTATCTATGAGTAGCTACTCAAATTCTTAATCTGATATGTTCTCTTGTTCAGTAGAGGAATACTATTTGTGTTATAATAGATATGTAATTCTAGAGGGAATGTTTTCACCATGAGCCCCCTCGAGTTTCTTAGCTCTCCTGCACAATCCCTGCCACGTTTATTTTTATACACGTGTTTTTATCACATATTGTTTGCTAATAACATTCAACTTCAAACACAGGCGTATTTCCAGGTGGCAGTCGGGCCCCTCCCTGGTGCAACCGCACTGTCTGGACTGTCTATATTTACGCCCCTGGTCCCGTGTGTAAGATTTAGGGAGATTTAGTGGCATTTATTGGTGAGGACTGCAGACTGCAACTAGCTAAAACTTCTCCCCGATAGAATTCCTTCAGTGAGTTTCACGAGCTGAATCACTGCAGAGGTCACTTCTTCTCCCAAACAAACAGAACCAGTGATAAACACAATTTTAAAAAAAGGTAAAAACACTGAATAGAGTAGTTTCACGGTGCAAATCAGTATTTTTCTGGCACCGCTACTGTGGCCGACACAAAAACGCGAAAATGTGAATTGCCCTAGTCAGAGCCATTGTTTGATTTGTCCATTCTGGGCTACTGTAGAAACATGCCGATGTAACATGGGGATCTCCATAGGTGGGGACCCGCTCCCTGTGTAGATAAAAATGGCTCACTTAGGGTTGGGTGATATAACGACTATGCACGAGATATATATAGATATATTTTCAAGCTAGATATAAATTTAGACATCACTGTTTATATGGATATAGGCTCAACTTAATGCAATCCAGTGTGCATCTCTTCTCTCTCACACTCTCCGCACAGCTCTGCCCCACTCACTCACTCACAAGTTCTCCAGCAACACTCAGAGAGACACAGTGAGACAGTGGTCTGTATGTTGCACAAGCTACACTAAATCAGTCTGTGAGATGAATGAAATTACAGCAGCACATGTGCAATTCAGCGCTGTGCTGCTAGTTTGGGTGTGAGGTGGATCATAGCGCGTTGCCGTTCTTCTTGGTAGTTGTAGTCTGTTTTGTGACATGGAGACAGCGCCTGGATGCAGGCGACAGATGTGTTTAAAAAAAGCAGCCACAACACACACGTTTCTATACAAGACGTATTTAACGAGGATAAAGTATCTCTCGCTCCTTCCTTCCCTCTGCCGTTCTGTTGATGTTCTGTGCATTAAAAGGATTAATAGCCTAAATAAATAAAAGATTTAAATCATTTTACAGCTCTAGATTCATTTGAAAGGCCATAGAAAATGACTTGTTAAAGTTCCCCTGCAAAGATTTTTAACTGTTTCAAACTACATTGTATTTAGGCTGACTTGATACTTTTATACTCATGCAAAAAAAAGTTAACATATAGTCCTGCTATTTATATAATTTTTCATGTACATGTTGTGCAGCTGTATATTTACAAACAGGGGAATAATCCCCATCTTTGCATTTTATTTTGATCACAGTCTGTTTTTTATAAAAGTGCTTGAGACATCTCAAATGTGGCTTTGACTTGCAACTGAACATGTAGCCCATTTTGTCAAAAATATGGAGCGATATATCGCTTATCACCTGTAAATACAGAGATATGAATTTTTGTCTATATCGCCCAGCCCTAGGCTCACTCTAAGGTCACAAAAACACAATGATTCTTATTTTCAGGTGATTATACACAAAGGAAAACACACTTATTGTAATTCATTTATTGGACTCAAACACCTCCGTGATGATATTGGACTCTAAAACTCCGCCTTGGACTGGTTCACTTCTTACCTCTCTGGGAGGACACAGTTTATCAGCTTGGGAGCTGCAAGGTCCCAAACCCTCCCTGCTACGTGCGGTGTCCCTCAAGGATCTGTCCTTGGCCCACTTCTGTTCATTATATACATGCTCCCCCTTGGCCGTGTCATCAGACAGTGCGGGATTTCTTTCCACTCCTACGCCGATGACACTCAGCTGTATCTCAGGACTGACCCAACCCCTTCATCTTCACCTCTGTCTCTAATTGGAATTCCTGGCAAAAGTCTGCAAAAATTACAACTTATTCAGGACAGTGCTGCTAGGATCCTGATGAAAGTCAGAAAACACGAGCAGATCACACCCGTACTCCGTGGCTCCCCATCTCCGCCAGAATCAACTACAAACTTGCTCTCATCACCCATCAGTGTATCCATGGAAATGCCCCGGATTATCTCAATGAATTACTCACCCAGCAAGCTTCAACCCTTAATCTACGCTCCCAAAACCAATACCTTCTCCAACTCCCTGGAACCTAGCTCCACACTTATGGGGGACCATGCCTTCTGTTCTGCTGCCCCTTGTGGAACTCCCTACCCGGCCACCTCAGAGCCCCACAGACAGTGGATGCCTTTAAGAGAGGCTTAAAGACTTTCCTTTATAAAGAAGCTTTTGACTCAGCCTAGGACTCTTTGGATTTGTTTTTATAATGTTTTAATGATCTACCTTTTTACTGTGTGCTGTAGCAGAGATTTTTCTTACATGAAAAGTGCTTTATAAATTAAATGTATTATTGTTATCATTATATTATTATTCATTTCTGCTAAATTATTCTCCTAAATCCTACACACTGGACCTCTAACACAAAAATACTCACTTGAGTTAAGAATTCGAGTAGCTACTCATAGATACTGCAATACATTGAAAAAAAATAGCTAATTTAAGCTGTGAATAGTAACTATCATATCTAATTCTATCTCAGTGAAGAGCATCTGATGTTAAAGGAATTTCAGTTTCCTCACCATCTATAGCAAAGGAACATCTCTGATGGTGTTTTGTTTATTTGGCACTGAAACATGCAGCATTTCTGTCATTTCATCCAGTTATTTAGTCCATAATGTGCTACTGAACAGTGGGTGAAAACCAGACGTATTTTATTAGTTTCTTAATAATGTTAATGATATAAGACAAAAGGATTTCACAAAACAAACGACTGATATAATGATGTGTGTTGTTTTCCTACCTGTTGTTAAGGGAGAAAATTAGTGCATTGTGATGTTTTTGTAGATAAATATGTCTTTGAATCATAGCTGCGGTGTTATATCAGTTTTGTTTCATCAGGGGCATGAAATGAGCTATTGTGCTCGGATGAATACTGATACAGAGCCATCTGTGATGTTATAAAAATATGAAGTTGGAATTGCTTTTTGGCAATTGTACAAAAATGTTTCATATTGTAGAGGTATATATATCCCTTTTTGTCATGCCAACATCGCCTGACTCCAATCTTGGTGATCAGTGATTCAGTCAAAAGACTAGATGTTCCTTTGTGGGCTGAGTAATTGTACAACCTTTGGGATTTTTAAACCATTTAAAATGCATAGTTCTGGAGTTAAAGCTGTTTTGTTCTTCCTTGTGATTTTCAGAGTTCTACTTAAAAAGGTTTTTGGTGTAATTTGGGGTACAGTGCGTTAGTCAAAGCCCAGAAACTGTTCAATCTCAAAAACATTTTGAGGAATCGGTGTGATTCTGAGAGGTAAATGTAGTGTCTGACTCACTCAGCAGCACCAATGCTGTAAACAAGATATTTCAGGTTTTTTTCTCTTGGTGATGCTTGTGCTGTAACTGACAGGATGTTATGTGTTGCAGAGGTCTATGGTTCAGTGTTGAGCAGAGACCATGTGGTGTTTGGAGCTGCTCTTACCACTGCTGTTGATCATCAATGGTAATAAATCCCTCTACCTCATTCCTTCTTTGATAGTAGCTGTATTCTTCCACTGTCACACTATCAATGCAGTAAACTCACACTCTGTCTCTGATCTCCTCTCAGATGCCAGTTGCCAGTGGAACGTTTGGGTACCCCGGGACATCTCGGCTATGACAAACTCCTGCGTGGTCATCCCATGCACCTTCATGTATCCGTCCGGCATCAGGCCGTACCGTGGCACTCACGGTATCTGGTACTTCGGCCAGCCGTACCCTCAACTCTTCCCTCCTGTTGTCTTCAAATCACGCACAGACGTCGTGCACGAGAGCTACAAGGGCCGCACCAAGCTGCTGGGTGACCTGCATCAGAGGAACTGCACTCTGCTCATCAACAACGTCGGCACAGAGCACTCAGGAAGATACTACTTTCGTGCTGACCTCGGTGGTGCCAACATGTATACGTACCCAGACTTCTCTGAGCTCAAAGTTCTGGGTAAGTCACTGATCAGAGTGGAACACACATTCAATTGTAACGATAAATAGGGCAATATATCAATATTGTTAGTCATTGTTTTGTATTTTTTCATGCATATAAAATTAAAACAGAAATTAATAGAAATTAATATTATATCAATGTTGTGACACTAGATATAGTCTTAGATTTTAAAAAAATCGTTTATCTGAAGTGTTGTCTTCTCCTGGTTTTAAAGGCTGCATTACAGTAAAGTGATGTAATTTTGTGAACTTATCAGACTGTTCTAGTTGTTCTTTTATTTTTCTTTATCCACCTATTCTTTTTATTCACATTACTGATGATTATTTATCAAAAATCTCCTTGTGTAAATAATTTGTGAAAGCACCAATAGTATACCCTTCAATCCAACTGTCAAAATATCAATAATGAGATGTATTATATTTGGTTTTCTCCACATTACGCAGCCCAACCAATAAACCAGACACAAATATGTGAAATCAGTGACAGTAAATGTAATAATTATTTGAGTTATGACTTAGATCACCAGCTGAAAAGGCTGAAAATAGTCTTTCAAAATTTTTTTGAAAACCTTTGCCATTTAATTTGGCTTCTTATTTGGGATAACCTTCCTTTTACAGCTTTTATATGTTTGGTTCTTTGTCATTTTAATCCTTTTTTCCTTTTTAATTTGTGTCATTGTTTTGGAATTTTTAAGGTTACTACAGTATTTTTGCTTAGCCTTGATCTCTTGCATCTCCGCATGAAGACAGAATGCTGCTTTACAAATGAAGTTCCTCTTATTATTGTTAAATCATCCAGCAATTTCCTTTCCACCAGATCAACCCAACATTGACGTCCCAGAGGAGATCGTCAGCGATGAGAGTCTGGAGCTGACGTGCTACGCTCCAGACAACTGCCCTGACATGACTCCAGAGATCCAGTGGATGTACACCGACTACCTGCCTGACCCAGAGTTCAGCTCCGACTATCTGGAGGAGAGCAACACAGCGGTGCTCTCCAGCACCCTCACCTTCACACCCAGACCCATGCACAACGGGCAGCTGCTGGGCTGCAGGGTCTACTTCCCCAACACCACACTGGTCTACGAGAGGCTCATCTCTCTGGACATCAAGTGTAAGTCAGAAAAGCACCTCTCACAATAGGCCAATAAGTAGTAATGAAACTTTTCCACTTTTATCCATAGTCTCAAAGGGACTTGTGTCTGACATGCCATACTAGAGTCCCAACAGCAGTAATGAATTCCTATCAAGCAGATTTCTCAGTGGTTGCCCAAGCTGGAACATATTCTCTTTAGTGTTTGCATCATGCATGCAAATATTGCTGTCCTACATTTAACTGAGTTATAGAGAGGCAAAGTCCCTGTGCTTCCTGTGTCCCCCATGGAGTGGTATATTGGAGACAATATGTACAGTAGTAAGCAGTGGAAGACAACATTTTTTTTTAGCCCATTTGAATTGTGCCATGAACTACAGGATGTTTGTCAGTTTGAAGAAGTATTTTAATGCTGAAAAGACAGTCTTCTCGTAAAATTTGACTATTCAGGAGAAGGACACAATACTTTTGACACTGTAGCTACATGACCAGGGAAAACAGAGGAAAAGGGCTGTGGCATTTGCTTTAGATCAAGAGGTAGAACACCTGAAACCACCAGAATGCACTGCTCCGCATTGGACCAATAAATGCTCCCGCTGGTGGGCGACATAATGAGAGCTTGTCTGTTTTTCCACAGAAAACAATATGGTGGCCATCTGGTAATAAACAACCTCATTTTGCAGTTAAACAATAAGTTAAAATATGTTTCTTAAAAGGTTTAAGGTGATTTATAGGCAATACAGTGACAGAAGGTTGGTTCATATTCGATCAGCGCTGCTTAGTTTTACCGTTTGATCTGAGAAAAAGAGGGAGAGGAGTGGCCCTCTTTTCGTGTCTGTAGTGGCGGGCATATGAAAATGTGGAAGTACGTATCTGTAGTTTGAGCAACAAACCCAGAGCCAGCAAAAATTTACTGGGTGACGTGCTTTGTGTTTGAGCTGGGAATGAGCAGGGAGCTCTGCTGGCTGGTTAAATGGAGGGAAGTTTACCACAGGTCATTTACACACACTACCCACATTGTTATGATACAGAGCTGGTTGAAAATTGGCAAAGTATCGTGTTTAAAGATAATTTTGCAAGTTCAGAAAGACACAGTTTGTTGTAGTGTCATTTAGCACAAATGTAATGTTATCTGACCTGATGTATTGTGTTCATTGACTCCTGGTCTTTTTATCAGCCGGGAAACAAAAGAAGGAGTAAGACTTTTTGCCCGCGTGAGTACATCCCAGTTTGAAACCCACAGACATCATAGTTTCAGCGAGAGAGGAAGTAATGATGTCACATTCGCGACTTGTGTAGTCTTTCTTTTAAGACTTTACAGGTTTATGAAAAACTATGACTTCCTTGACTTGCTAAATGATCTTTCACAATCACAATTCAAACAGAACAGGAGACATTAAATTCCAAACATATTTTTTGGAAATAAGGTCTCATGGTGGTCCACCTGAAGGGGGAGGGACATTGCCTCTCTACATGTTGCTAAATTTGATTCAGATCAATCCATGTTTTTTCAAGAGGCAGCCATCCAGTGTTGTCCAGACAACTGAGCTGTGGGACATTCAATTCTCTGCCTTACTTTCTCTCCCAGACGCTCCACGCTCTGTGTGGGTGAACGTGTCCTCAGAGGTGATGGAGGGCAGCTCTGTGACGCTGCACTGCGAGGTGGACAGTAACCCTCCTCCCAGGATCTCCTGGATGTTCGGAGACCAGGAGCTGCTGTGGGACACGGCGTCCAACGTCTCCCTCTCCCTGGACGATATTACGCCAGCGCAGGAGGGAATCTACACCTGCGTCGGGGACAATGGCTACGGCATCATGAACACCTCAATGTACCTGGCCGTCAAGTGTAAGTCTGTGAGGCTGTATACATGCTGTGTTCAGTTAGTATGTAGTCAGGAACTGGGGTGTAGCAAGTTGCATTGATTTGCATTTGTGAGTTCAGATGATGACCTAAAATGAGTTTACAATCAGCTTAAATTCTCCCACCAGAAACAGTAAAGGAATAGTCCACTGAAAATGTTTTGAGTATCAAATACTCACCCTCTGTAGGCTCACAATGTGGCTCTTAGAAATTTGCAGCCCACGTATCTATAAAAGACAGCAGCTGTTGTCGGCCTGGATTAAGCTACAACAGATTTCAACAGGGTACAAATAAAAAACATCCATAGATCTGTCTCAAATCATCCCTTTAGCTGCTGTTCATACAGATGCTCAGTATTTTCCAAACTATCTTTTCTTCAAAATGCAATGCAGAGCTTCAGAGCCACAAGGAGGCAAAGGCGGAAAAATAAAGATTGAGTCTACTTTTGTTTTTTCCTGTGTGAAGGCACTATGTATTCAAAATCTGCTGATCATTGATATGTAGTCTGGAACTGGGACACAGCTCATGAGTGCTTCCACTTAAACAGTGAAAGTGTGAGTAGGTTGGAGGAGTTGTGTGTTTTGAGAGCCAGAAATCTCTGCCCAAGCTAATAATGCACTCATTAAAACATATATATTTTATACTCAGACTCCCTTTGTAGGATGCTCAACATTAAAGGGTCATTTTTATTATAACAACGTATCAAATGAACATGTGAAAACAATGATGAGGAGATTGCTCACAGTGATGAAGCAACAGAGGGTTATCACCCAAATCTTTACGGAGTGAGTTTCAGCACATTGTTTAGCTGTCCGACCTGTAAATTTACTGATTTGTTTTACTCTAACAGCCCTCATGGTGTCCTTTCCTGATGTAGCAGCAGCTGTTTTCAACAAAAAGCTCCAAAAACCCACTGCCCATGTGTTGTTCACCATCAGACAGCAAAACCACACACTTAGCAACTAGCTGGTGAGCATAGCACGTAGAAGCTTAAATGGACAGTTCACCCCAAAAATCAAAACTATGTATTTTTTCTCTTACCTGTAGTGCTATTTATCACTCTAGATTATTTTGGTGTGTTGGGGGTATCAGCCGTAGAGATGTCTGCCTTCTCTCCAATATAATGGAAGCAGATGGCATTCGGCTTGTGGTGCTTAAAGAAAAACATTTTGAAAACTGAACCTGGTTACTCAAGATAATTCACAGGCTTGTTGTGAGCAGTTTAATGTGGGAACTATTTTCTTTCGACGGAACTACACCCACCAACTGTATCACAGTGCCTGAAGGAAGTTAGCATCTACTGCTTGCCCACCTAGCACTACAGAGCTAGCTGACGTTACAGCTCAGCCAAGGAGGACGCCCTTAATGTTTGCAATCTGTGCGTGCTGTCACGAGCACAAGCCTCTCATCCATGAATAGATGCACGCCTCCTTCAGTGTGGTGATATGGCTGAGGGGTGTAGTTTGGTAGAAAGAAAATAGTTCCTACATGAAACTGCTCGCAACAAAGTCTGTGGATTATCTTCAGTAACCAGTTCATGATTTCTGAAAAGAGACATTGCTGTTGAGTTTTTCAGATTTATGTTTTTGGCACTGTGGTCACCACAAGCCAAGCACCATCTACTTCCATTATATTGGAGAGAAGGTAGACATCTCTATGGCCGATATCGCCAACACTGGGCAACTCACACCAAAACAATCTAGACTGATAAACAGCACAACAGGTAAGAGGAAAAATCTGTATTTTAGATTTTGAGGTGAGCTGTCCCTTTAAGTGATAGATATTTCCCTCAGGAGCTGTTAGAGGTTGGTTGCTCTGTAACTGCTGTGATGTGTGAATCAGCTGTTGAGTGATAACATGTCAGTGTTGTGCTCACAGTTTGTTTTTGCTGCCCTCAAGTGGCCAAAAAAAAATCAGTTATTGCCAGTTTAACAACACCTTGGGTCCTTCATGTTAAAGGAGGATTTACTGTATATTCTAGAACTGTGTATATGATAAACACACATTTTTCTCAAATAAACAAAATTAATCTCACTATATTTTTTTTGCAGACCCTCCCCGAGAGCCCCTGGTAAACGACTCTATGACGGTATTAGAGGGAACCACGTTGTCTCTGCACTGTAGCACCCAGGGCAGCCCAGCCCCAACCCTCACCTGGCTGAAGGATGGAGAGCTGGTGGGCACCATCACTGCAGACGAGCTGTCAGTGCTGGAGATTGCAGAGATCACACCGCAGGGAGACGGACAGTACCGCTGCCTGGCTGAGAACGAGCATGGAAGAGCCAGCAGCTCCTTCAACATCACTGTTGAGTGTGAGTGCCTCACTTTCGTGCATTTCACCCAATGGTATAGTGTAAAAAAAGAAGATTGATGATGATCTGCAGGCCAAAAGGATCATAAAAATACTAAAAATATCCTACTTTCATTGAGTAAACAAGTTTTTTATGTGAGAAACACCAGACCAAAATATTGTTTCAGATTCATATATTCAAATCCATTGCTGCATTTTAGCTTTTTACTCTGCTGCCTCCTTCAATAGATGCCCCAGTCCTTCTGGAGGAGTCAAAATGCACAGTGGTGAGGGAGGGCGTCCAGTGTGTCTGCATGGCAACAGGAAACCCTGAGCCCACCATCGAGTTCTACCTGCCCGACCTGAACATCACTATCAACGAAACAGACGGCCGGTACAACTTCTACACGCACACAGATGGACACACCTCCACGGGTATGATCAAGCTGCGGGAGAAAGGCGAGCGGGTAGACAACGGCGGCCCTGCCGTCAACGTCCATTGCAGCATCTCCAACATGTATGGAAGAGAGAGCGTACTCCTGGAGCTGCAGCAGGAGAGTGAGTTCAGACTAACTGTACATCAGAACTTTACCTGTAGTGATGCTTGATAAAATCATTTGAGAATTTCCTCCTGCCTCTGCCTTCTCTTTGTCATCTGTCTAATTGCATTCTCTGTGTTTTACTGTCTATCCTTATTTAAACTAATGTGACACTATTGTAAAATTTAAAGGATAAGTCAGGTGATATTGTACATTTTCCTTGGCAACACATCCCATGAAAAGACCACATGATTCTTCATTACCAAGAACATGGACACTTTATTTTGATCTGATCTTTTATACGCTGTCTTGCTGCCGTAAGTTAATCAATTGTGTATTGATCCACAGCAGTAAATAGTCCCCAACAAATGCAGTTTCCTCCTGTTTGAGTAGCGTTTGCCAAAAACAACAGTGCCCAGAGTGTGCAGCTTAAATGTAACTATATATTTGAAGTTTAATTTTAAAGATATACATCTTAAACAGGAAAGAATGTAGTTGGTTCTACACTATGCAGAGAAAGGCCTTTGTTTGTGGCTGTTATCTGTCGCTGATGTTTTGTCTGGTTTGACTGATTTGACCTTGACTGAATTAACCCCAGATACGCTGACCTCTACAATGTATGTTCATTAGGAATTCTGGCATTTAGGGGAGGCAAAAGACAACTGTACTTTTACTTCAGAGAAGGATAGTGAAGATTTGGTATTAATTTTGTGCACCTCTGAGCTCCCCCCAGAGCAACCCTATTCTCTAATCCACCCGGGACTTCTTTAAAGAATCTAAAGCATGGCCCAAATATCAGGAAGGGCTGAGATGCCAGGTTTGAAACATAATGTTGTGATTATTTAGATTCCCTTTCAATGTACTCCATAGTATCCTTGTTAGGTGCTTTGTAAGATTATGTGCTGCTTTTCATTTTTACATGACTTTGTTTTGTAAAAGTTTTTCCTCTTGTTGGATTGAGACTGAGACAAGCATTTGTTTTTGGTCTCTTCATGGGATTAATGGGGTCATGATAATAAGTAAGTCTATGTTAATGTCAGCCTTATCCTTGAAATTCATCTGACTAAAATGGCAGGAATCTCTGTATTTATCTGCATCTGTCCTTCGACTTTCTCTATAACATCCGATCCACTTCACACTTGGCGGGTGTATTGCTGAGGACCAAAGGAAGTGCAGTGTCGAGTGCAAGCTCTTGAGATCTAAAGGACATATTTATTAGAGGTGTGTTTTTACACACTGTGGAGTGTATTGAGAGGGGACCCCTATTAACTGTTAGACTGCTGAATGGCATGCTGGGTACAGCTTGCTCTCACTACGATACATTCAGGAACAGATGAAGAAAGAGAAACCGGAGATGTTACATTGAAGCAAACTCAAACATTTTAAGCCGCAGTGAGGTAACTTTTAGAATGAAGGCCTTTGTTCCCCAGAAGTAGTCAGGCGTGTACTACAGCACTGCTCGGGATGCAACTATGTCATGGCAGGTGTATTGCTCAGTACCCAGTGAAGCACAGTGTGAAGTAGTTTGGATGAGCGGTTCTCAAGAAAGCTGCAAGCAGCAATACCAGCAGCAGAGTGATCGGCCTTTTCTGAACATGCATGTTTTGTGGACACTGCAGCAGTTTTCATAAAAATATGATAGACAGTATAAATGGTTATTTGTGTTTTTAGAAATTAATATTAGGATACTGCAATTAATAGCCTGGGCTTTTATGTGATTAAATCAATGGTCTTTTGATGTGAGGACCCTTAGGTGCCAAAGGAATATGAATAACTTACAGGGTCATCGAAGAATGGACACATCTGTAGACTTTATATTTAAAAAGACCAGGCATCTAATTGAGACAAGTGTATATTTGTCACACCGGGCTAGTAAAAGGGACTGGGCTTTTAATTGAAGTTTTACGGTAAAACATTCTTCTCCTGCTTATTCCACATTTCTCCTTCCTACTATTGTCTCCTCATTGGTTGAGCAATCACGCTGTGATTAAGTGAACAATCCCTTAATTTGAAGTTCTAAAATATTGTCTTCCTCTTTCTTATGCTCTTCTTTTCCCCCATATGGTGTCAACTTGTTGGCTAGGTGCTAGGTGGTCTTTTCTATGTGTAGTTCAATATTGAACAATAGTTGAATAATCAACTTGAATGCTCTTGTTTTTAATCTTCATCACCTTTGTTTTCAGAAAAGTACATGATGGCAGTCATAGTTGGCACCATTGGGGGCGTGGCGGTTATAGCCTTCATCATTGCAGCAGTGAGATACGTTGGCCACAACAACAAGAAGTGAGTATAAATGACAAACTAATGTAGAGGCCGATGCGAGGCAGAAGTGGTCATTTTCCTCACTAAGCATGTTCTGAAATCCAAGGAAACACTTAAGCCTAGTCATCCATTCTAAAACACATTGTTGCACATTGTAAATGAGTGAATGTGGGATTGATGTGGACATGAGAATCATTTCTCCAGAGCAATTTAGCACTTTCTTTGCCACGACAAGTACCTGTTGAAATCCTTCCCTCGAACATCCACATTGGCTGCCTTGGAGAGTGGGTTAGCAAGCTGGACTAACCTTATATTTTGCAGGCTCGATTCCCTGCTCTCTCACTGCTTCTGTATCCTTGACCTGCTGTGCTAAATAAAACCCAGGTAGCCCTCTTAACCAAGGTGCTTTATTTTAGCCTCAAGGCATATTTGGACCCCCAAATTTGCAAGCTTTCTCTGACAAATCACCCCTGAAGTGGGTGTGAGCTCAGCGACTAAACCCATAAAATAACCACGTCACTCACACCCACAGTTGGCCTCCAGCTTAACCTTACAGAGCTTGTTGTTTTAAAATGGATGCCCAGGCTTGGCGTGTCGCCCTGCGTTAGTGGCAGTCGAGACCGAGTCTGATTATGTGACTCCGTCCCCCAGAGAGAATGGCAACCCTAGGCAGGACGTGGTCCTGGAGAACCCTGCTTTGTACTACAGCGCAGTCAAGAAGGACAAACAAAATCTGAGGAAGAAAGTGGTGAGACATGCTAATGTTAATGATTATGATTATGATGGAGGATGGGTTGGGCGACCATTCTCAGATTGTTTGGGGTTACAGTTTTGTGTAATGAACAAGTTGTGAATTATGAGACCCCATTTTGACCTCTGAAAACGAGGCAACAGGAGGAGTCTCTCCCACCAGAAGTCCAGTAGCTCCAACCATGACCTTTCCAAACACTGTTTTCTCTTGCTTTCATCGCTTCTCTGCGTTTTTCTGTCTGTTTCTCTCTCCCCTAACTCTTGCACAGCTTAAGACAGAGCTGTTGGGCTCAAAGTTTAACTCCATTCTAGAGGAGACTACGGTAAGGTTCCTAAACAAATCCCCATTAAAAGCACAAGCCTCAGTGACAGATGCATCTCCTCGCATATCAGCTTCTTTGTTCTGTACACTGCCGTTTGTTTCCGAATCTGCCTTCTGCATGGCTGCCTCATCGCTAACACAAATTGCCAAACTAACAGGAAACATCTCAGTCTACTTGTCAGTTGTCGACCAGTAACCACTAACACTTTTTCTTTATGTGGTCTGTCGCGCTCCTCCATCATCTGAGGTGTCGCCGGCACCTTGCCAGTGGTTTGTGCCGCTCATCGGTCCTTCTGTCTGCAGGGAGAAGACGGGGATTATCAATCTGTGGGCTCTATGGCAGGACTGGAGAGGCAAGAGCTGAATTACGCTGCTCTGGAGTTTATCGGGGCCAGGTCCAGGGAGGGGGCCTCAGGGAGGGGGGATGATGGCAGCAACTACACGGAAATCAAAGCCAAATGAATCGCGATCCTTCCCTGATCCCTCGGCTATGCGAGACGCAGTGGCAGCCCCAACACATCCTCAGCCCCATAAACTGTGTAATAACACCCCTTCCTCTACTGGATTTCACCCTGACTCCTTGTTTCTTCAGATTTGTCACATATAATGTACCACTCGATGCCACTACTCCCCCCTCATGCTGCCCCTCCACAATTGGACGCCCCTTTGCATGCCATCATCTGGGAAACTGGTACTTTTTCGGGTCAGAGCACGACCCACTGGACAATGCAAAAGAAATTATTTAAGTTTCTAGCCTCAGTTGTCGTACATGGGCTCTCGAACATGCAGTGTTAACCAGCGACCATGTTTTTGTTGCTTTCTCCATGTTCTTCATTGTGATTGTCGATGTTATTGTCAACCGACATGCACCTGAGCGCTTGCATCCGTCTCACTATTTCGCTCTACATCTGTCTCTTATAACTGTCACTGTGCCTGCTGCCAGTTGAAGCATCAGGGCAAGGAGTAACTGCGCTTTTTGTTCTCTTATATTTATGTGTGTCTGTCAGCAGAGAGCAAACATCTCTTCTCTTTTTCCTTTGGTTAATTACATCCTGAGACGATAACTGGCTGAGGCGAGAAATGAAAACGCGTCTTTCTTTCCACGTAATTGTATTTAATGTGTGCTGTGACTTGGTAGCCTCTCATAATAAATGGGAAAAAAAAATGTCACCATCACTTTTGATAATAATGGAAGAGGTTTTGTAAATTCAAGTGGTACACTGTCTAGTTCTGAAAAATGTCACAGCTTCTGTCCAGCATTTTCCAGTTAACTGTAGAATGTGAGATTTGGGGGGGGGGTGTTCTTTCACTGTGGCCAACGCAAAATGTCTGTCTCATTTCCTACTTCTTCACCCTAAAGCATGAGTTTGAGCTCCAGCTTGATGTGGAAAATACAACCTTTAAACTTTAAGGTGCTGCATGTAACTCTGGAGAAAGATAGCTGATTGCTGAGTTTCATTCCCAGGTCGTCAAATACCGACGCTTTGGATTGGCAGTTTGAACGAACCACCAACCCAAAGCATCAGTATTTGACGACCTGGGAATGAGACCCAACATCTCTTTCTCCAGAGTTATATTCAGCACTTTTAAAGCACAACATGTTTGAGCGCGAGTGGCCAAAGTGTTATCTCTTTTAGACAATGTGTGTGTGTATGCGTGCGTGTGTTTAAATCGTGCTGAAAGATCATAGGACACTGATCGTTGATCACTGGGGTCTTTGAGAAGTTCAAGCATCACTTCACTCGAGACGGTGATACTTTATTTTCACAGCGTTGCATCTGATGTTTGAATGAGAAAAGGTGATGCTGACTAGCCAGCTGGTTGCGCTATTCAAAGACATTTGATGGACCTGTGATGTAATATCAAAAAGCACTAATAGTCTAACTTGATAATGATGGTGTCAATAATATATATTAATAAGATGTATATTGATAGGGAAAGGGAAGCCAGTATGTACAGTAAATACCCCGCATGAGTGTTTGGCCAGCAGGCACACGTATAACTATTAAATTATGGGTAAAAGCCAGTGTGGGAAGTAAAAACAGTCCTGTCACACATTACTGACTGAACACTGTCTTAATATGAGCTTAGTGGATCAACCTCCAGCTAGCACTATAGTCAACATCAAATCAGAGGCTTGTTTACATGCAGGGAGTGACCTTCTTATTGCCTGTGATTGCGGTTTAAAGTATAATACCTGCCGTGTTATCTTTTGTATTAAAGGTACACTATAGGAGGATTGCCAGTTACTGTTTGCGAAAATGAAAGTAAAGGCCAACTCCAGATTCACTCCTGTTAGGTGTTTAGCCTTGATATGTTTGCCTTCTTTCAGCGCTGTGTCTCCTGGCTGGCTGCTGCTTACAGTCTAGCACCTGGTCGCTACCTTTTTATAAAGCCACGATCTCACCTAAACACTGTGGGGGTTCATGCCCATAAATGTCCAGAACACAGTAAATGAGAAGAACATAAGAAAATACAGGCAGAGGGCAGAGTCTCTGCAGAAAAACACAGCGCCACACACTTCCAGTGGGTCATAAGTGAGGCTTGAGAGGGATTACTTCTGTAAGGGTCTATGCATCATGTTTTAGGAAAATCCTGTGCAGTATATCTTTAACCATTGGAAATAAAATACTAAACATCTGTATATTTTTGACCAGGTAACTTAATATCGTTATTGCAGTATTGTAGGGTTGATTGTAGGTGCTTCACAAAATATTTACAGGATAAGATTTTTGATAAATACTCAGCAGTAATATGGATATAATGAGTGAAATTACATGGACATGAATTACCTGTTTAATGAGACTTGTCACGGTTATGATCACATTCGGGATGTAGTGTTTACATAAGCACAGAGAAATCGGGTTATTCATATTACCTGTATACATCCAGGTTTCTTTCAGAGTACTCCAGCGAGCATATTCTGGTGTTCACATGCTCAAACACACAGACAGGATGCTCCAAAATCCCGATCATAAATGGGTTATTCATGTCCATATAAGTGCACTCAATGATGGAACAGTCTGGTAAGTTCAGAAAATTACATCATTTTACTGTAATGCAGCTCTTAAAACCAGGAAAAGACAAGACTTAGAATATTATGACATCCAAAATCTAAGACGATATCCAGTCTTGTATCAAGATATCAATATAATATTAATATATTGTTCAGCCCTAACTCAAAGGGTAAATTAAGCATTATACTTCCATTAAATTGGGCGACTCACAAGAGACAGAATTTTACAAAGACCTGCTCCAAACCTGATGGATCCTACATTACCCAGCATGCATGTGTGAGCTGTTTCTAATTGGTTTTACAAACAGCAGGAGTACAGAACTCAGCAAAGGCATGTCACTATGGTAACTCTCTCTATATATGGGTAGACTGTTCAGTAATGCAAAATGAAAAACATCCAAATCACACCACACTTCTTCGGTTTAAACTGTTCACATAAATCCAAATAAATCTGTCACTGCCAAAATCCCAGTTTGAATTAACCATGTAGATGAAGCCTCAGCTTGTCTATGACGCAGTGCACAGAAAGACAACAATGATATGATGTATCAGGTCGTTTTTAATACCCATAATGCTGTGCAGTGCAGGTCTGAGCATGTAAACTACATATCAAAGAAGTGAGATCTTGCTCACCAGTCATTTTTCGCCTACAGCTGAGTAACACAGAGTAACATCACCATCACTATTTTAGTGGTCATATTACAGGGTAACATACTAGATGCTGCATGTTTCTTTCTTACATTTCTTCTACCTTTTTATTGGCATCATATCTTTGGAAAGAATTCATTTGTCTTATCCTGCTTAAGTCATGTTTAAAGTATTGAACAGTGCAGGCAAATGAGCCAACTCTGTGTTACATTTGACCCAAAAAGTCAATTAAACAATGTAGATTAAAAAAACTAGATCCACAAAATATATTGGTATGTAATGCAAAAAGATACAGGAGGATGTCAGTGTTATATAGACACGCAGCCAAACAGGTTAAAAATGCAGTTCTCTGTGCATGTAAATAAACCTATCATCAACCATTCTATCACATTAACCTTTTATTAAGACATTGTTCTGTTGACTTTAGGGTGGATGTGCTGGCTAGCATTCTGAAATTGCCTGTATGCACAAAGTCAGTAACCACTTCCTGTCTTTGAATGCCTCACTGGGGGGTTTATCTTATTTTTTCTATTTACTTTTTTTTCTTTTTTAAGTAGAAATATCAAATATGTCTTACCTAATCTTTTGTCACAGTGTGTTGTAAAGCAAATTTGTATGTCCTATACTTTGTGGTGATCATAATTATCATTATGGAGATTTTTCTTTTTCTACATATATGATTGACACAATAATTCAGATCAGGGTTTTGCAATCTCTCTGCAAATTAGCACTGTTACCTAATGTCAGTAGGGTTTCTGCAATGATGTAGTTTGCTTGCTCTTTTATTTTAAACAAGCCTTTCATGCCTCAAGCAAATTCATCTGTCTTCAGTTCCATGCAAACATGAATAAAATAAAAACAACAAAAACTGGAAACAGTTGATTATTGATAGAAAACAAACTGTCTGTTTCTCATGCTATCTCTTGTCTTGGTTTAGAAAGCAACATCACCATGATGAAACTGTGTGCCCTGTTCTTTTTACTTCTTTGGTTAAGAGAACAAAGCAAAAAGAAATCGCCTTCCTCCGGTTTTACAAACAAGGCTTTGCAAGGTTTAATCTGGACTCATTCAGATTCATCAGTTAGGACTTGGTGTTACAATCCCTGGAGTTTCAGCATGCTTCTCGCCAGAGCATAAGGTGTTTCAACCATGACTACCCTGCAGAGCCAACCCTCTGACACATCATCAGTTGTGCACCTCAACATCAGTGGGTGTTTCGGCTTTTATCGTAAGACACTCACCGTTTAGGGAGACCCACCACAGGTTGATCAGGCCTGGGTGTGTGTCAGAAGGTTAGGATGGGATCCTTTCTCTTCAGCTGTAGCCAATGACTGCACCTCTCAGCTCAGGTGAATACAGGAAAGAATATTAATAAAACACATATGCGACATTCAGATTATCAACATAGCAGCAACAACTATTTACTATGTAAAGGGTTTAATTCTACCCCATGGTCCTTTGCTGCATGTCATCCCCTCTCTCTCCCCCTTCATGCCAACACTGTCCTGTTGATTAAACGCAAAAGCCCTTAAAGTATGAAACAAAAGATAAAGTGGAGTAACCCCATCCTGAGTAGGGAATGCAATAAAAGTCCCTGTCTGATGCAAATGGAGCAGTTGACACCATACCCAATGTTTCACAATGTGTCACCATCACAATGTTGGCCAGGTCACCTTGTTCTAAGACTTCTCCTTTCTTTCTTTTCGTCACCTCAGTGGACACCATCATTTATGTATAAAATAAAAATACTAACAGGACCCAGTACTGACCCCTGTGGGACCCCAACAGTTATGATGATATGTCATCACCCATTTGCTCAAACTGCTGCCTGTGTCCCATGTAGCTTTTTACCCAACCCAACGCCACTCCTCTTACACCATATCTTTCCAGTTTTTTTAATTGTATGTCATTGTTTATGGTGTCCAGTGCGTCTTTTAAACCTATAAAAACTCCTACATAGTTCTTGTTATCAGCACAACCAGTAATTTCCTCTGTTAACACCATTAATACCATTGATGTCGACCTACTTGCTCTAAACCTGTATTGACTGTCTGAGAGTAAATGACACTTTTCAATGAAATGATCCAACCGCCTAATAAACAGTTTTTCTCATTTTTGACAGAACTGATGGTGTAGATATACAGATCACACTACAGTGTGCAGACTAGAGTATGCGTTCAGCTTTACAGTGAACTGTAGAACAGGAAAGAAAAATTAATGAAAGACACTGTAATCTCGCATAAAAATTACCCAATTCCTTAAAACAAACTGAGTCACTAAATGACGAACTTGGCTTTCTCAATTATTTTTTTTAAATTACACATATACTTCCTGTTTTTAACAGTTTCACACAGATGATGTGAAGAACACAGACATAAAAAAGCAGAAAAGGAGAAGGAGAGAGAAACATTAACTCTCAGAGGTCACTGTGGAGAGGAGAGAACAGGGCACAAGGAGGTAAAACACAACTTCTATCTTTTAAATGCCTTTTTTATTAATTCATTCTTCCCCAAAAAATATTTCAACAATATATCAGTGTTGCTGTTGAAGGTAATTGCAGTGAAGTTTATTCATACAGCAACTTGTGCTTCAAGTAATATCAGGATACCTGCTTAAAGTGGCAGCCACACACACTGTAGAACACAGTCAAAAGCTCTGGAAAAAGCTCAATCCAATTGCCAGAAAATATATTGGTATTGTTTCTGCAAACCACAGATATGTAACATTTGCTTGTTATTATGTAGCGGATACACTGAAACTGTATATATTCTGTTATTAACATATTTTATCTTTAGGCACAAAAAATACTTGGTCATGGTCAGGAAAATATCATGTTTGGGCTTCAAATCCCAGCTTTTTCTGATACAACTGCAGCTGAAAACGCTGCTGATATCTTGCTAAAAAACAACTGGTTTTGTTGTTTGTTAGTCTTAAACAGTGGTCTGCATCTTAGCAGCCTTCTTGCTCTGCCATGCCAGCCGCCAACCCCTCCATCTCTTCATGACAAACTGAGACCATGTACATGTAATCTGAATAACGTCACTTTAGAACAAATTGATACATACAAACATGCAGCTTTAGAGCTATAGGCTGAGGGATCCTTGAGTTTATTTCATTATAGATGTATCAAAATCTGTAAAATCAAACCAGTTTCATCACCTTAACTTCCTGTTTTCACTTTACTTACCCTTTTTGTATAAAGTGTTTGTGCCTCTGAATGGAAGAGTTTGTGTCAGAGGGAGTGTCTGTCTCACTCATCGAATCAGGATGTTTGTTCTCATCTGGGCAACTCTGCTTTTCTCTGTGAGAAGCAATGCTGACACAGGTATGCATCTTTCTTGTTAAACATTAGATTTTTATTTTTTTTTTAATGGCTATTTATTTATCAAGTGTATTCTGGAAGAAGAATCATGTTAAATACTGATATAATACTGTGTTATCTGTTCAATGCTGCTGACAAAAGCAGTTAACAAAAACAGTCATAGTAGAAGCCGTTCTTTATAGTTTATCACATATCACAGTCAAAATTTAAATATTCTAATATTCTTTCATTGTCTTTATTAACAGGTGTAGATTGGAGAAGACCATTCTGTGACAGAGGATACTGTATCACTCTTAGTAAAGGAGAAATAACAGCAGAGGCCGGACTCTGTGTTGTGATACCGTGTCTTTTCACCACTGGATATGGCTTTATAGCCCAACATATAGTTTGGTACAAATGTGAAGCATATGAACTATGTGGTGATTCAGACATTATATTTAACACCAACAGAAATAACGAAGTTCAGTCTGGGTTCAAAGGACGAGTGTCACTGTTGGAGCCTGATGTGAATCAGGGGAACTGCAGCATCATCGTCAATGACCTCACTGAGTCCGACTCTGGATCATATCAACTGAGAGTAAATGGTTTCCTGAATGGGAGGGAAGTTGGATATACATTCTATACAAGAGCAAGAGTCTCTATTAAAGGTACAAAGAGCTACAACAAATATATTCAGTGAAGATGTTTATTGTTGTGCCTATAAACTGCAACAGTATATTTGGTGAATTTATATTCTCAATGGAGCATGAAGTAATGTTTTGCATGTGTTGACCTCTCATGGCAACCAGATGAACTGCAGCAGTTCCTGATAAACTCCTACTTATTGCCACATTGAAATGTTTAACTAATAATCTGATTATTTTGGCCCATATTTAAGTGAATGATTACCCTCAAGCTGCTCACCTGATTCCACTCATGGACTGTTCTCCTATTAGGTCTGACCCAGAGGCCCACAGTGATGATTCCTCCTCTGACAGAGGGACAGCAGACCACACTGACCTGCACTGCTCCTGGTCTCTGCTCTGGATCTGACCCTGAAATCACCTGGATGTGGGGAGGAGCAGGAGAGACGGACTCTCGCACCACAGGAAACATCACTGCTTTCAAGACTGAGGATCTGACTGCTGTCACTCAGAGACACAGCTCAACTTTGACCTTTAACCTTTTAGCCGAACACCATGGCACTGATATCACCTGTAAGGTCAGCTTCACAAACAACATCACAACAGAGGAGATGGTGACTCTGAACGTGACCTGTGAGTAATGTGCATGCTGCACTTTATCCATTCACATCTACCTTTTATCTTGCAAAAAAATACAAAAGTGTTCTGAGAAATTTTGCAGCTTCAACATTGAGCTGGAAAGAAGTTTTCAGGATGCGTTAAACGTTAACATTTTCTACAGTGTGATCTGTTTTTCTTAAAACATCTGTGGCCTTTTCCTCCCGAACACGTTGTTCCTGGACTGGGTCAGTAGCTGTGGAGCTACATTAGGGTCAAATGTTTTGTACTTGAAAAAAATAAAATTTGAAACTGAAAATTCATGTGTTGATCTTGAATTTTGAAAAATACAACATTGTATTCAAAACAAAAATAAGTGTATGAAACGTTTTTTCAGGTTAAATATAATTTACTTTGGTAATTCTTTTGAATGAATAATTTATTTTCACTTTTCACTTCCATATGTATTTTAACATTTGAGGTCTTATTTTTTTCATTTGCACGTTTTATCTTTTCAGATTCAGATCTTATTTTTTTACAGTTTCAAATCTTATTTTTTCACTTTCAAATCTTTTTTTCACTTTCAGATCTTTTCTTTTTTCAGTTTCAAATCTGTTTTTTGAGTTTCAGACTTTTGACCCTGATGTGGCGTGGGCGGCGTGGCATCAACTGAGAGGGGCGTGGAATCATGAGTGACAGTGCCTTCAGGGAACGTAGGAACTAAAAAAATTCTGACTCAACACTTATATAGCCTACACCATATTCATGTGACTGGCAGTGTAGAAATTGATGCCAGTGACAAACTTCCATTTAGAAATCTGTTTTAGACAGTACTGAGCACCAATTGCGGTATAAGAGCGATAAATTATGCCAGATTTTGCAGTTCAACAGCCACATTTTAAGTGCTGATATGTCCGATTTCCACATAGCACTGTGAACGCAGCGTACTGTCCGTTTTGCTTG